ACTCTATATAATGGTTTATTATGAATATCCAAACATTAAAAATAACCGGGCATCCATGGGCTCAAGTTAGTAGGTAAATATTCACACATATTTGGTTCGCCATCTTAGTTTTCTAATACAATATCAAATGACCTAGATAAAAACGTCTGTCTGTTTTGTGTAATACTGAACTTCTTTAGTACATCACGAGCTTAGTATAATTGTGACATTTTCTTCTAAAAAATAAATACACCGTAGTCGAGCAGATATACCTACCAATTCATTTTATTTCAATATTGTAATTTCATATACCTACCAATTCCTCTTATTTCAAATGTATAGTTTCGTAAGTTTTGGCACAAGTGATGTGTTGGTTTTCACACAAGTTTCAGCGCAAACTTGTGTTATTTGGTAAAATTTAACACAATGTCAAGTGTTTGTTTTAATTTGACATTCGACACATGTTTGACTTTGTTTCAGCACAAGTGTTTGTTGTTAAAAAGAGACACCTAACTGGTGTTGAAAATAACACAAGTTGTGTCAACAAAAGTGTTTTTAAATTTTATTCAAACTTGTTCATGAACTGCCTCGTGGGAACACTGAAACAGCAACGAACGAAAATCCTTTTAGTAGAGGATTTAATTTGACTCTGTGGAGTTCATATACAGAGGCGGAAATGGGTGAACCAAGTCCAACAGGTCAATATGAAATCCTACAGTTTCCTGTCTTTGTACCATTTTTAAATTGTCCATAGAGTCGCCAGGACAGTGAGAAAAGCACACCCTTCTGATCTATATTAAAATGTAATTATTGTTGTTTGTGTTCTTTATCCAGATCGTACCTAAATCGCATATTTAATTTTTGTCGATAATTTTCGAAAACCTGTTATTTCAATCATTCACGAATTTATTGTTTGGGTTAATGCCGTTTTGAGTTGACATTGCTTGTTGAAAAGGTTTATTGACGTATCACAAGAAAACAAATGCATGAATTGCAAACGAGGATGAATCGGCCTTTAGTATGATTTGGAGGCATTAAATTCCACCATCGCGATACCCACTATTAAAAGTCTTCCATTTTGGTTGACTTTTGTGTATGTAATCATATAACAGGGTTTGAATTGACATTTTTAGTCAGATTTTGGTAAGTATTCATGGTTTAGAGACGAAGGGATGACAAGAGTTAACAAGTTTACATGTTTATAGTATGTGTATCTCAAAATTCAATGGTCCCTCAAAAGACCTGGCCAGGTGTGCTGTGTCTGTGGCAGAAAGCGTTCACCCCAAGGACAATTTGGGAAACAATGCGAAAATGAAAATTACTAGTGGTCTGTTTCCGTTTAGTCATAAATGAAGTTACTTCCCTTATATGAGAATACACATTATCAGTTAAAGGACAATATTGTTATCAGTTATTATTATTATTGTTCGATTTATATAGCGCTTCATTACCCGTGAAGTGTTTCTAAGCGCATATCACAAACATATACTTCAAACACACAAAAACAATCAAAATCAGGAGAACATAATTAAACACAGCTGCCTGTTAGGCGCTATTATTCAAAGGTTTATATCTAACAAATCAACCGGCTAATCTCTATATTGAACTCAGTCGAGGTATTACCTGATGAACACCTACACCAAGTAGAGTTCAAAAATAAAAACGAAATTTAAAAGAATCAACTTCATTAACAAAAATTAAACAATCAAAAACTAAACTGATAAATCAAATTCAAACGAAACAAAGAAAATGAAAAGAGCAGTTCATTACCATTCTACATTAACAAAATAAAGGAAATCAACTTGTGAAAATTTGTTAAAAAAATAAGAGCAAAGTAACACTAATGTAAATACTTTTTTAACGAACATATCATAAATATAATTAATTTTACCTATAATATCTATTTCAGAAATCAGACTTTATTTTGCAAATAAAATAATCCAAAGAGTTGTGTACGACCATTATATTTAAACAGTATATTATGCTGTTATATATATATGATAAAGTGAAAGTGATGAGAGTTAGAATTAATGTTAACAATTTGATAATTACTATATTTAATTTGTTAAATGGGTAGCAATGCATATGCTAATGTAATAATATGAGTGTATATAATCTGATTAACATTCAATCGTTTCTGTTTATACTCTTGATTTCAAATCAATTATGTTCGGCGAAATATGCCAGAAGTCTCAATCGAATGGCCATCTCTAGGTCTCTAGCATCTGGTTATTCAAGTCTACACCGATAGTATTTATTGTGCATGCTCTCCAGATAAGAATATGAGGTCACCGTTTGACATGACTTGTAGAATATGTCTAGCCTAGTTCTTCGAGTCCCTTGTTACAACTTACAAATGGTGCTAAAACGCATTATGGTACACGAATGGTAAAATGTTTATTTTATCTTAAATATTGGATATCAGAAGCCCATCTTTTCCCTGTAAGATCACAACATCAATGTTGATTTTAACTGAAAAATAATTCGTGTTTTCAATGTCGAAGACTTTGGATGATATTGAGTTAGAGACTTAGCTACTTTAATTTGTATATGACAGGACACATACTGTGAGATAGTCGGAGCTTAAAGTACATGTATATGCCAGGGCAGTGAAAATGACTGAGTTAGTTTTTTTTAATTTGTTTTAGAAATATAGAATGAATCAAATGTAACTTTCACACTATTTCCCTCAAATGACACTCAGATACTTTAACTATTAGGTGTGCTAAAGAATTACTTTTTTCAACATGTAGGCCTATAGGCCTAAGATTATAAATCTGACATGACATGAAGCCTATAGGCCTACATGTTGAAAAAAGTGACTTAGACAACTAAAAAGCTTGATCCTGTATTGGTACATGCATGGTTTAAAGAAAAATGTGAACATCTCAGTAACCCAATTTGAAAGAAGAGTTGAAGATCTGTTGAATAACTCAACACTGACTTGACACTAACTAAATATCAAGTCAGCTTGACACTATGTCTGCTTTGCTCAGCCAATTATCATATTATGTGATAGAACTGGTTAAACATGTTCCAAAGATCATTGTTACGATAGATGCGTTATGAAGATATTAAGAAAGGCAAGTGACGAACGCAAAATGAAAACACGAGTTATCCTTCTATATAACTGACTGAAGTGACGAGTGATAATAGATACATGGAAGAATTTCTGCTCACTAATAATTCTTACGAAGACCAAAAGTTGTTATGTGAGGCCGTGAGAGGATATCTGACCCCCCGAGCGAAGCCGGTCTGTTCGGGGTTGGCGGCTACACTAGGTCTGCCCCGAGTCTGAAATTTGGGGTATAGGGGTAGCACGGACCTGGGAGTAACATAGGCCAGGTGGCGTTAGTCTACCACTTCCGGTTTCGGAGTTATGACCCCCGAGCGAAGCCGGGTATCCTGCTAGTACATCATAAAAGCATGCTAATGCACGTACTTTTTCTATTTTTCTCGTTTTCTCTTACCGAGTGACAGTCAATTATTTTGACTATAAGACATTCTACTGTACTACACAAGACACTCATGACAGGTCTGCTTAATACAATGCTAATACAATGTATTTCTATCCAAATAATAAATTGCATCTTATACATATCGAGGCATGAATACATGTATGAATCTTTAGTCTCTATGAGACATGATACTAACACAAAAATGCAGGAAATGCAATTATGCTATCAGCACCACCGATTGTTTTAATCAAAGACCATTTCACCTTAAGGTGACAGACATTTGCACGTCAGCATAATATATTTTACTAATCGTTGTGTATGTATGATTTTTCGCGTGCGCACTCTCAATTTTTTGAGGGGATTCCGCGTGAAAATTAGAGCTCTCAGGGGGGCCCGCTTATACGGGTGGACTTATTGTTTAATGGGGGCCTGGGAGGACACCGTCCTCCTAAACTCCCTGCCAGCACGCCCCTGTTTGGAATTATTAGTGAGCAGAGATTCGCACGTGTATCTGTTATCACTCGTCACTTGTGTGTAGATTAATGGTCGAATGTGAGACGTTAGGTAATATATTGATATTGCTGGAGTGCGTTAGCACGAGGGCTATATCTAGATATTACACAGTGCCTTGCACGAGACCATTAAACGACACAAAATACAGACATTATCCAACATGTGCACTCCAATGAAATACGTCACGCGGGTTCAGTCTTTCAACTTGTATAAATAATGTACACTTGACACATTGCCCGTACCATGATTTGAAATAATGGTACTCCAACATCAAAGTATGACGTCACATCTGCATTTTAAATATAAGGATAACTCGGGTTTTTCCTTTTGCGTTCGTCACTTCCCTTTCTTGAAATCTTCATAATGCATATATCGTAGCAATGACCTGTTATTTGGAACCTGTTTAACCAGTTCTATCACATATATAATAATGACTGATACCAATATTGTACTTTAAGCCATGGAAGCAAGGACAATGTCACGTGTTATTTCATGTAGCACACATCTAGGCTAATCGCGACATGTAAGTACATCGGTGGTGTCATGAATTGAGCTCGAGTTTATAGTCACGTACCACTGTTTCTTAGACGCCAAGGTTGCGCAAATAAGGCCGAGTCCCGGATGTGATCCAGATGTTTGTCGTGAAAGTTTGCCTGTGTCGGTTTCGAAGGACAGAGGATGTGGCAATGAACATTGTCCAGTCTTTCGGATGGGACAAAAAACAAACCCCCTTGTACATATTGGCTCTTAAGTAAAAGAACCTATCTATCCGGGCTACATTTCCCCCATAACAGACTGCATAGCGTATGTGTGAGCTTCATTAGCCCGGTTGATACAAAACTCTAGGACGTTAAACACCACTTCATTTTTCATGACTTCCTTCCACGAGCTTTCACTTCGGGGTCTACACACTGTATCGTGCATGACAGTATATCTACATCCGACAAGGTCAGGAAGGGCGTTTTCAGAAATTCGAGTTCGGCGTGAGGTATCGGGCATTACCCGAAAAATTTATAAAATCAAAAAGCTGACACAATATTTCTGCTCATTTATAGGTACATATAATAAGATTCGAGTTGAATGGGGCCAATACGGCAACGGTGCTTCGCACATTTGTGCGACGTTATCTCGCCGAATGTAGGACTAGGAGAAGAAACATATGGTGGGAGCCAACAGAGGTGAGGTGGGGATGGAGGGGGGGGGGGCGGTCACGCGTCTGGTTCATCATAGATTTTGCCATTGACATTAATGATAATGTTCGTATCTTTGTCCTGAGGTAACTTTGTCTCATGTTAGCGTTGTGTTGAACGCTTTTTGTGCCAAGACGTAAATCATGAGTAACACTCGTTTTTCGTTGTTCACCAATAACGAATTTTGAGCTAACTTCACACTGCCCATGAGCTTTACCGTGGGAATCTTATGATACACAAACTTTAAGTATAACTAGACAACTATAAGCGTCTAACCTAGCAGAAAATGTGTTTTAAAACATCTTTGAACCTGTTACATATATATGATGTACATTGCCCAGTCACACGGAAGGAAACAAATGATGTGCAACGTCCGTTCATCGTTTTGTTTTTTAAAATGATTTTACAAATGATAACTAATTATTTTTTTCAATACAACTGAGTCGCCAAGTCGGTCATGCACAATCAAAGGCGAGACAGTGTACATTTGAAATATATAAACAGGACACACTTCTTTGTCTCGACTAGAATTCTCTAGTTTTTATCAAGTATTGATACAATTTTAAAAGATAGGTTGTCAGGCAATAAAACATACGCTCACAACAGCTATGTCACCCGTAATGTTCACAAAGGTTGTATATTTATTGTTTGGTAGGTAATGTGGGCATTTAAAAGCCACTTAAAACAAACCAAGAGAAACAACCCATTATGTAATTATCAGAAATAATAATAATTTGATTGGCTTCTAGTTCTTTCGGACGCTAACATTTATTATATAAAACCTGTATCGGTAACGATGATAAATTTAGCTGTTCGAGTTATCTGAAATCATTAAAAAATGATAGTGTGCATCACATTAACACTATTAATTTCAAACTAGTCGGGAAATAACTAGCTGGTCCACATTATCTTTAAAAGTGATCAAGAGTAATAACTCCAAAATTACTTCTACATTTCATAAAAATAAAGGCACTTGAAAACTAAATTTATAAACTTGATCATCTAAAAGATTATTCGAAGTAACCAAGGGCAAACAATCTAGCAGTAATTATCGGAAATTACTGACAATAAATAGACTTCTTCGCCACCTGATCATAAATTTATAGACAAGCAGATGATCAATTTAACCTCTAGACATCCAAAAGATATTCAAAGTGGCCAAGGGCCTTAACTCTGGCGGTAATTATCATAATTCGCTGAAAATCGTCTCATTCGCATGACCATAAACAATGTGTATAAATTTAAAGCCAATTGGATGATTACTTTAACCTCTAGAGCGTCTACAAGCAATTGTTTACGCCGGACAGACGGGGTTGACAATATTATGTATGACCACATTTCAATGTGAACGTATAAAAATCATGAAGCATTATATACATGTAAACAACGAAAACAACAATGCTGAATAATAAATAATAATTGTATTTCATTGTATTTCTAGTTCAATTACTAAATCTGTTGATACAATCTGCAATGAAATGTTGTCAATTGGGTTTGAATATTACTTGAACTATAATATTACTTGCATATATTTTTATATTATGTCATCCAGTATTTGTCATAAGCCATTTTCACTCTTGTGGCAGAGAAAAACGGCAATCTAAAGAAGACAAAATGTTACTATAACAAGAACAGTAACTGGGCATTAAGTTTTAAATGTCCGAACCTACTAGACACACAATGCCAGGGATTCCTAAAATAATCTGAAAAACCCAGACTTATAGGGTGAATGCAAGGGTCAAACTCGAGTATGCCAATAACTCACCGTAACGCAATATAAAACATTGTCGGATTTCAATTTATAACAAACTAAACAATCCCATCAAATCTTTCTATATATATTGGTTACCGGGTATTAATAGATGAGTCTGAATTTCTTATGGGCTGCCATTTTGTACTAACTGCACAATTTCAGGAAGTTTCTTTTTCCAAAATTCGCTATTTTCTTCTATTTATGACAAACGGCTTAATTCCAGAATATTTTACAATTCCGGTGCCTTTCAAAGAAGAAAAATCGTCTGACGTGTTGAGTACTTACAAGGCTCAATAAGACGGACAAAAACTCAATGAAATCTCGATAATCGATTCTGAAATTTGTTCTGGAATGCCGTATCAGTAAAAGAAAATTCAATAGTCAACCTGCAGATATTACGAGGGCGTCTTTAACCATGGGAATATTTCGTAGAGCGCGACGTGCGTGTCTCATAACAAAGAACATTAGTTAATGTAGCATAATATTGAACTATGTCAATGTCGACTGTAGACTAAAATAGTACATTTATTGAGCCAGTTACCCCAGTAGTTTAATTAACGTCAAAAAAATAGAAATGTGGAAGATATTGGAAATTATTTGTAACCATCCTAATTTCATTGACAAACCGTCATCAGTTTTTGTCAAAAACGTTGTAAAACACGACAAAAAGAACTAGAAACACCCACGAAACGTCAGTCAAACTCGATGAAGAATTTATCACCTCGGTTGAAAATCGAATTCTTCGACTGAATTCATATCCTGATATGCTAAATTGTAATGTTACATTTTCAAATAAACCATCTTTAGTCATGGTCGTATTGTCGAAAAACAAACCAACTTGCCCTCCTCTAATTTCATAAAGATATTTTATGACTCCATCTGGACTAATAAAAAACATGTTATCATTTCCCTTCAACATATAGCCCTTAAACTTGTATCCCATACTGCACATTAAAATGTCTTCGTCTTTAAGATATACTATTGTCAATTCTCCTATAATAGGATGCCCATATATACCGGTATATCTTTCCGGATTGAGAATACCATGTCCACTTTTGTCCACCAACACGTCCGTATAATTGTAAGGAAAAGCCATCGGATGTGCACAGGCCGTAGACATATTAGTCGCTGGAGTTTCGTGAAGGGCAAAAACATCTAACATGTAATATGCTATCTGATGCAAAGCGATAATCCCCTCCTCTCCGCCGGGACCATTTGTGTTTCCATATAGAGCAAATTTAATACTTGGCATCAGTACTATCAGGGAACTATACCCATAGATGTCACCATTATGTGTTATTATCTCATATCCTGAAATTGTTAATATAGTATACACATCTATTAGCGCCATAAATATTTATACATGGATTATTTTAACTGATAGCATCATAACAAGCCGATATATAGTGATGCCGATGTACCTGCTTTAATCACCCCTCACCCCCCCCCCCCCTAAAAAAAAATTAGATTACTTGCTTATTTATCTTTGTATAAAGCATCTAACAAGCAATTTTACTTATCACTGATTTACCGAAGTTGAAAATGCTCAATTTCGAACCTATATTGATGTTAGGAAACTATACACCAACGGACATTTGCATAAAGTTTAAACATCATGTTTCAATTAGAAGCATCATTATGTGTTCCAAAAAGGCTGTCAGACAGGTGCTGCTTAACCTACGAAGGCCAAGCCATTCACCCGGTGAACATCTACACTAAGTTTGAACATTATACTTCGAACCAATTTAAAAGGTTCTGCTTTCTTTGAAAAATGCGAATATTATATAAAGTTTTACCTTTATAGTTAGATACGAACCACCCAAGAGCATAACCACAAGCATGATATTTAACTTCTAATTCGGGAGCTTTATATTTCTGGAAAACGTCACCGTAATCAGAAGCCGTTATTACTTTATTGAATGTGGTATGGTGGCAATATTCCGAGTCCGAGGGTTCATCAAATAAGCTTAACAGATGTGACAGCCAAATTTTCATATCTTTTGAGTTGGTAAATATACTGCCTGCTGGATCAGCTGGATACATTCTAAAGAGAATATTCACAGACTTTACATATTGTAAACACAGCATACAGGGTAATGCTAATATTATGTTTAAAATAGGGTTTGCTTACATGTGTGAATTATAAATGTAACTGATAAATGTGGCTGTGTTTAAAGGAATACGCAGCTACTGGAAATGGGACAGACTTTACTATATTTGTTAGCTTTAAAAACTCATTTGTAGCATTAATAATATTTAGTTTGAAACAACATGCAAGTCGCAACATGAGAGCATTTCCAGAAAGGGGTAGGTATTCTGATGTTGAGTTGCCTGTATTGTATCAATTGAAAGGATTCGGCTTGATCTTAGAATAAAAGAACAGGTAAGTGAACTGTTATTGAAATAATAATACACTGAGACGCAATGAAAACCCAACCACTGATTTGAGTAGAAGTGCTGGCGAGGCATAAAACAGCTGAAATGAGATTTTTGGCACGTTTCTTGAAAATCAACATCATAACAACTTTACGTGCTGAAACATAGTAACGGAATCGAATCATAATTGGTCGGCACTGACTAATTCATGTGACCGCCTCACATTAGTTGCAGTACGGGAGGTGGATAGCATGCGGTAATGCGTCGGTCTTTCCGTGGCGTCGTCACACGTTGCCGGACAGACCTTGGCCGATCTCTAATGGAACCTGTCTGATGGAAACGACCGGCTAGTGTGTTGAGATATGAACCTTCAGGGAACGGCTCTGGTACACATGCCCTCTTGTGCCAATCTTGATGTATCGTTGCGTCTTCCACAGAACTGCGGGCGTTGTACTGACCATATTTTATACCCCATGGCTGAACCATAACATCATGATTTTCAACATTTCTATTCTGTTACCCGATCGTGAAAATATTATTCTCACGTCTTAATTTGATGCTGTTACATTCAGAATTGCAAGAGTATCTCTCGAACAAGATTTCCAATCATCCTTTTATAAAAGTGGTGCTTTTTCATTGCAATATGTATATATGAATAAATAAAAAATAACGTACTTTGTTAAATTCTGTACATCATAAAGATTATCTTCATTCGAGTCATATATATAAGGTATCGCTGTATTTTTCGCCATTAACGAATCTTCATAAACTCCCGTAGACACCATATTATACTTGTCAAAAATTCTTGTTTGTATTAGATGCTCCCAAGTGTCATTGCCGATGACTTCAGCTACATGCCCAGCCAGCATATATAATAAATTATTGTAGCTGAACTGGTCCCTAAATAAATGTAACTCTTTAAGATGTTTAAGCTTCCTGAAATACAAAACTATGTATGGTGGTAAAGGTACAACAATTTGTAAGCTATGTGAACTGCACAAAGGTGTAGCATGTCTCGTGCATGATACCGATACATTAACGGGACTGTGATATGTCGCTACAAACCGAACCACAGACAGATATATAGCTAACCCAACACGGGTGTGATCTTAATGTGTTTTAAGAAAATTATATAACCTTTATATACGGTATAATACAACCAATCTGTTTAATACTAATTTGATTTCAATGTCTTAATAAGATGTTTTGGTTTAGTATTGAATTCTTTAATAGATAGCTATGCTTTCTGCAGAGGAGGGGTTGGGCTCAAAACAAACAGTTATTTTTATGGAAATAAAAGCTAAAATCCCGTCTTATGTATGTACTAAACAAAGAAATTCTGCAGATAAAAACAGCATCAGTAATGTAGTGCATATGTTTATACAAAGAACGGAAATGCGTTAATAAGTGCATTTAAGATAACTTTAACAGAATGTTCTATTTATTCAACTATTCGTAGTGCATAAAGGTTCACAATTTTTTTTAAAAAAATCTAAACCGGCTTAACAATGCCAAGGCTGCTTATATCAAGCTATTTCCAAACGAAACTATTTATTTCTTTTAACATGGAACCTTTTTTCAGGTTTTCTGTCCCAGTAACATATATTATTAAAATATAACTAAAGGCGCTATCAAACCTATCTATTATTACATTAATAAATACTTGCATACTTCAAATTACCTACCGACACAGCTGTTCTCGGGTAATGGTCGGATATCCCACATGAATTCCAAAGTCAATAGACTCTAAACCCGAACGATGAGTCAGTATATCTTTTAAAGTCATCTCAGATGTTCTGTAGTCGTCAGCTGATTGGAAATCTTGTAGGATATCTTTTAATTTTAAATCCCAATTACAAGATCTACAATATAAAACATCAATGAATACACAAGCAAAAGGCAAATATCGAGAAAAGTTGTAACAATATTAAATTATATTCGAATTAAACCAGGAATTCCATTCTTAATGGACATTGACTGCGAAATTCTAGCTTCTGGATATCCATCCTAAGACGCAACGATGAAATATAAATTTTAATAAAGTAATAATAAAAACAAGCGGTTGCCCACAATCATGGGCCATAATCCAGGATGTTACGGTCCGACATGCGAGAATATCAATGCGACAACATTTTGCGGATATAAACATATATTTTAAGTTTCATCAAAATCGGGTCCACAAGCTTAAGCGCGATTTTTTGTACAATCAGGGGTCATAATACAGGAAGTTACAGTTCGATATGCGCGATTATCGACGGAACCGATATCTTTGGTATATAAACATATATTTTAAGTTTCATCAAAATCGGGTGGGAATTGTGACCTTGGTTTTATATACTTTTACTATTTGCATAGAAGCGGCCATTTTGTCGGTCCGAATTTCACGAAATTCGAATTGAACCGCCATTAGATTGTAACAGTAATATGTGAACAGTTTTTAAAATCGGATAAAAATTGTGACTTCTAGAGGGTCCACAGGCTAAAAACGTGATTTTCCGTAAAATCAGGGGTAATAATCCAGGAAATTACGGCCCCATATGCGCGAATATCGAACGGAATCGAGATCTTTGGGATATAAACAAATATTTTAAGTTTCCTCAAAAACGGATATACTTTACACTATTTGCGTACAATCGGCTTAAAAAAATTTACCTGTAGAGGGTCCACAAGCTAAAAACGCGATTTTTCGTACAATCAGGGGCCATAATATAGGAAATTACAGTCTGTTATATGCGAGTATCGAAATAACCGATATCTTTGGAATATAAACATATATTTTCAGCTTCATCAAAACCGGATAAAAATTGTGACCTATAGAGGGTCCACAGCCTTGGTATTCCATACATTTACACTATTTGCGTACAAGGCGCGGTCATTTTGTTGGATATTTTGTGCGACCGATTTTCACGAAATTATGGTGCAACGGTGATATAGTCTAGCGGTTTTTTAAAGCCGATCAAAATTTTGACCTCTAGAGGGCCCACAAGCTGAAAACGTTAAGTTATGGGTCGATATGCGCGAATATCGAAAGAAATCGAGATCTTGGGGATATGAACATATATTTAAGTTTCATCACAATCGGATAAAAATTGTGACCTCTAGAATTTCCAAAAGCTAAAAACGCTATACTTCCATTTGTAGATCACGCTGCATCGTAAACACGATTGATGCGAAATTTTGGTAGACTGGGTTTCCAAAACGAAAATATTGATACTCCTTTTGATCACATTGTAGACCATGAGGCGTGCTAGTAGGACTCGATTGTAAATTGAGTAATAGTTTAATTAAAACAAAGTGCTGTGGCTCTGGTCCGAGTTTCAATCAATACCAGGTTTGGCACAGTACCGTACTTTATTTTCGTCAGTAAGGAAATATTTTCAAGTAAAAAATGTTAAGTGGGTATACACTTTATGCAATATGGGCGTGATATATACATCACAACATTTTGGTTTGTCAAAAAATGGAGACGGCATGATAACTAAAGGCTCACCTGTTATAAAATAGGATTCATATGAATTCAGAGAACCAAGGAGATACGTAACTTAGAGCATTTGTACTCGAGCCACGTGCGCAAGAAACCGGGCCTTTCAAATTTTACTTAAAGATGCACTATGTAAGAGCTAGATCTGCCTATTGCAGGACTTTATTTTGGCTTTGAATGTTATGTAAACTATTATTTAGACATTTATTCATATGACAGATCTATAATAAACTCTTTAGATCATCGGATGGGTGGAGATTTAAACGGATTGAGACAAGGTCGCCATTTAATGATTTAAATTTAAAAATGGGGGATCGAGGGTAAATCTCGAATTACAAGTACCGTTGATAATAAACACTCTATGACAGATCTTGTCAAAACTTCAGTAAGTGATGACTTGGCTCAGAATAAAGTAATTTGAATAAAATGTTCCATATATTCATTTTGTACTATATATTTTTGAACTATTATAGCTAGAACGGTCAGCTCTTTGTCTAAATCTTACATAACGCATCTTTAATAAATAACCGACATGTTTCTAATGTTAAAGAATGGGAAAGCCTGTTACTTATTAGTTTATGTTCTCATTAAATACAAAAAAAGAACTATTATTAATGATAGATGCACTACTACTTCATTAAATTTGCAAAACGGTTTAGAAGGTATTTATCAACATGTAAAATGTGTATGTTCGAAGACCCCCCCCCCCCCAATATCTTAATCTCATCAAATTTTTTCTGTATTTATTAGCCAAGTCGATGCGGAAAAGTGTGTCGTTAAATCGCATTTCATTTTATTTCATCCACATATTGGCCGAGTGTGGCCACAGCCACACGAGATTTGGAAATAAGAAGGGAGGAGATTCAGATATTTAGATATATGAGAGTAACAGTTAGAAAAACACATAACTAAATAGATATAATAGGAAATATATTTTGCCTAAACCTTTTGGCGATCAATGTTCGGCGTATTATCCTGGATCATTGGCACCATTTAGGTCTGTTGTTAGAATTGGTCTAACGTCGCCACTATTCTATCATCTGTTATGTAATTGATAGGCCTACTATTTAGTCAGTATTTACGTTGTACACCATTGCAGAGTCAGCAATAATGTAAGTAAACATTTGATTGTCCGCGTGCATGCACTTTTTCTAAAACCAGACATTAGTTTAATGTCATAAAACCAATTTAAATTTAGTAACGCAACTAACGTTACCATAGCAACATTATATTTACTTTGTAAAGTAATATCACTTTACTGTTCACGATATGGCTTTGAGCATGAAAGGCGGGTCATATATTAATTTCATAAGGAGAACTTGAATTACTTTTAATAAATTACATTCTTAAAAGCTGTTAAATTTATAATTTATATAATACGATACCCTATGTTGAGAGTTTTATCCACTAAAAGATCCGCTAACAATGCTGTAGTAAACGATTTTGTTAATGAACCAATACAGAACAATGTTTCATCATCAACCTTCCGACCCGTCTTCACATCGGATAATCCATATCCTTGAGACAATTCGGTTTTATCTAAAACAACGGTCAGTGTTAATCCAGGAACCTTCCGACATTCCATAACAGTTTTGATAAATTCTTCCATTTCAGGACTTAATCTTTTATGGCTATCAACATAGCTTAATATATTGATAGCCAAAATACAAAAACTTAACGTTCTAAGATAATATCCTCCTCGTCCATCCGCCATTTTGAAATACAAATGTAAAGCGCCTTTTATAATCTGCCAAAGATATTCTGGAAACACACTTCACAGTACAAGCCATACCAGACAGAACTACTTATGTCAGTACAGTGTAAATCTTTTTTTGAAATAAACCATATGCCCCATTTCAATCAACGGCTTTTTTGTTATTAATAGAAACCGCCCAAGGAAGGTACATTTACTTATTTTGAGAGAGTTCTTTGGAAATGGTAACGGTCCAAGCGTAAGTGAATTAAATCTATACTTAGACATCTTTACGGTTACACAGTAATAAAGAAAATAGCTGCACTCAACACTTTACTTATTGGATTAAATAAAAATAAAACACAAATATTTGATGGATTCCTTAAATAGATAAAACAATACGATAAGTATTGCTTTTTGGGATTTATTTATCAGTGTTCGGTTTGGACATTTAAAATTTTATTATCGTCTGTGGTTTCTAGAATAGTCACAAAGTGAAATCAGACAAAATCTAGAAAATATATTTCTTAAGTAGGACTATAACTCTATTTTCTATAATCATATTTGATATCAAGAACAAATTCAAGTGTTATCACACAATTGAATTAACGTAAGCACAGGGCATTTCTTATGAATACAGATGTAGTCAGTGTGAAGACGTGTTGGATATATCAACATAATAATAATATCAATATTACAGATTTCAAGTCTAATATATACATGTCATTGAGTCAACTGGCGTGGTTTCGATTTCCCGGTTGTACGTGACAAAGAGTAGGGTCGCCTGTCCAACCTCGTGGGTTTTCTCCGGGTCCTCCTGTTTCCTCCCACTGCTAAAGACCCCTACGCGCAAGCGAATTATTGAAATAAAATTTAATCATATGTTAGTCCCGAAATTACCTAGTTTGTGTCCAGTGGACGTTACCCCCCCCCCCCCCTCATCGTCAATAATCAACATTAGACAGTATAAGACATGTAATAGTAGTAGTAGTAGTAATAGTTTCACGTGAAGCGTTTTTCTTTGCAATTTTACATGTAACTGTATTTGGTCGTTCTCTTTTTGGACGTCTTCAGATTATACTAACGACTAAATTATTACTAGCAAGTGAAATAAATGTGGCGTCACTGGTGATCCATAACAGTAAATATAAAATTCGGACTGGCAAAATCCCGATTTAATTTTTTTTTTATCGGCCCACCTATATTATCTTTAATTTAAAACCAGGGTGTGCTACGAAACGTTTTGTGTGCAACGAGATTATCTAGGCAAGATGGGGATCACGTGGCTAAGTGGGTAAGACGCTGGCTCGCTAGCCTGGAGGTCGGGTGTTCGATCCCTACATCGGCCGAGAAAGTTCATCCAGATTTTCCAGCGTGGTTTCCCCTTGACAGTGATGCAGGACGGAGGGCCTGACAAGGGCAGCTGTCTAGTCGTTCTGGTGGGATGAAAAACCGAGGTCCCGTGTACACATTGCCGTGCACGTAAAAGATAACTTGGCAGTTGGAATTCGATATAAGAGTAGGCCGTAGTGCCGCTGCCCGGGCAAAATTTCCCTCATAGCACACTGTATGGCGTATGCCCGTCTTCATTAGCCCGGTTTAGGAGCAGAACAGTAGGGCGTTAAACTCCATTTCATTTCATTTTATTTCTAGGCAAGATAATAAAACACTTCCGCGTGTAAGACACGGAGATCTAAAACAAGATACCATGTTTGTTTTAACATACGATGGAATCAGCTCTTGCTTAAAAGATATATTGATAGAAACCTGTATAATTCTGATTCTGAGTTAACGAATCAGTCTTAATTCAATAGGATAAAATGAACAAATTTACTCATGTCATAAACAAACTAAGACTTGTTTGTTACCAAGTTTGTCTGTTCTTAAAAACTAATTTTCGTTTTGCAGTTTCAAATATATTCAACAAGTATCGCTGTCTTGATCTAACTTTCATATTTTTATTCTAACAAGTGAATTAAACCAAGACGTTGAAGTTGTTGGTTTCCAACGATTGGCATACTTTTCCTCCAGGGGTGGAATGTTATCAATTTGATTGTCGGAGTTAATAGTGTTAACAGATGTTTCTGCAAGATGAAGTAGAATACAACATTGCTTCCAGTGTTACAAGAGATACGTACTTGTACATCTGCTGAAATACCTATATTATATGATTTAGAATATAATGTAAAAGAATAGAAAAGTACAACCAAAAAGTAGTCCTTTGTTTAGTTTTTATATTTCGGTAACATATAAATTACGGAATATCTGAACTAAATCTGTTCAAGGTGCAAGTTAAGATGACCCATTATATCCCAATAGTCAAAGATTCCTTGTTCGGTGTCAGTGCGGGGGTCTGGTGCATTTGATTCACACAATGACTTCTAGTCAATGGCTCACTACCTACCATGGGTATGTCTCTGGGCTACGCCGATTCGTCAGTTTCTATTCAGGATTTGGGTGTTTTGTTGTTTTTTTCTTTTAAAATGAAAGATAAATTATAAAACCAGAATTTAATCTTTTGCCAAGCATGTGTTTGTTTAGTAAATAATGAATAAGTCTATAGAGATAAAAGTGTTAATTATTTTTAAAACACGCCCCCCCCCCCCCAAAAAAAAACACAAAAAAAAAACAACAAACCCCCCCAGTTTTTCTCGGCATTTTGTGAACACGTTTTTATCAGTATTATAATCGGAAGATTGACCGTCTTTATATTAGACTTACGGAACCCTGTATGTTGGCTGTGACAGTCATCCAGAGTACTGTCAATTTCTTACTTATTTTGTATCTTTTCAGGTAACACTTCGATACCTCAAGTCATTGCCTATTGTTAATTTTTCATTCCTTCGAAGAATCACATTTTGTTCATTTGAAGACTGATTAAGGATTATACAAAATTAAACGTGAATCACCTTAGCGTAAGTTTGCCAGTTTCGCAAAGAATTGCCTCCACGTTCGTGTTCATCTGCCAGCGACCCCCTAATCATCCATAAAATTTGCCAGAGGAAAATTGAGGAAGCCAAGAAAACAGCACACGACTGCCAAACGTCTGTTTACAGTTTCTGTCAAGTAATTTGAATCTGTATTAATTGAAAATGCTTCGGCATTCAAAAGGTCGTCTATAGAATGGAGTCAAACCAAGGTAGCCTCGTGACTGCAAACGAATCTCTGCGTGACGGTTGTTTTCAAGAAGAACATTTTAGGAAATTACGGGCTATATTTTGTTAGATCCGATATTTAACCGTACAGCTGTCAAAAACCTAATACTGATGTTGAGATAGTTCTAATAGAAAAAGAGAATAATAAATACCCACCTCGCTCACGCCGTTTTTCAGATATGCAAATGAAATGCCAGTTTGAAAGATTTAACATTTTTCGGTTACATTCGCGACTATTCACATTGGAAGAGCAGCTTCCTTTTCGCCATACCTTGCCACCTGTCAGAATTGGCACTGTCCACAGTTTATCAGCTAGCTCCGAGAAGTAGTTAAAACTATTGAGATATACTGATGTGGTTTTTTTGTTTAGCTACGATTGGATGGCTTTAGTTTCATCTGACAAACTTGATGCATGTACCATCTTTATAATAAGATTATTTTATACTATTTGGACTAATTAAACATACAAGGCCCAATGTAGTTGTTGTTTATTACAAATTTAACGTTCAATAATAAATGATATTATGGACAGGTTGATCCAATTAAAATTATTTTCATATGAAGGAGTAATAAAATAAAGGGTAAAAACACAAAAAAGTTCTCGTAAATAAAGTCACTATGAAAGTTAATTAAAGCAGGAGGTCAAGCTCATTGACGTTTGGTATTGTCAATCCGGCTCAATGTTGGGACAAAACTTACTTTTAACTGTCAATATTGACAGTTATGTTAATGAAGCGGTGTTTTTAATTGACTTGGAACGTCAATTCCCCTACTTACGATGTTCTCTTAGTCTAAGTCGCGCATTTTGATTGGCTGTTGTTTACGTCATGTATTTGCCCCGCCTTTATGTCGTGCGTAGCAAAAGCTTTTAACGCTTCTATTTAAAAGAGATGATTTGTACCCGTATCAGGCAGGATTATATGCTTAATTGTAGTTCGGTACGACAGGAATGTAATAAATAACAATCAATCGTTGTTTTGCTTTGTGAAATTCCGATGTGGATCACATCGGTATCTTCCAGAAATACCTATAAAGTAGCACATTTTAGCAAGAATAGCATTTGATGTTTCTACGAGATATAAAATCTTATAAACCACTTAAAGATACCTTCCCGCGTACAAACTGGATGAGTTGATGATATATTTGGACTAAAACACATTCAAACTAATTAATCTATCAAAATTTTGCTTCAAATCCTTCTCAAATCATTGTGGCATTGGAATGCACGTAAAAGATCCCTTGGCAGTTGGAATACGATATAAGAGTAGGCGATAGTCCCGCTCCCCGGGCAAAATTTCCCTCATAGCACACTTTATGGCGTATGCCCGTCTTCATTAGCCCAGTATAGGAGCAAAACAGTTGGAAGTTAAACCCCATTTCATTTCATTTCATTTCAAAACATTGTATTCGCGAGGGTATACCGCTGTTATAAAAACTATATTAAAAGAGGTCATGTTTGTGTCACGTGACTTGGCTGACACGGTACCTAGCAACGGGTGCGAAGCCGCGAGAGAATTCATTGCATACACCAGATGATGTTGTCTTTAATCACTGTCCATTTATCATAATTAAATATCGAAGCCTAATTAAATTCTCGGATTATCCACGGTCCACGTCTTTTTTTATCCCAGAAACTTGTGTACGCTTAAGCTCGCCATCAAGTTTATCAACTAGACATCCCTAATCGTCGGGTTGCCGGTTAAGGATACCCTTACAGTTTGTCTGGTATGCGCTCCGTGGGTAACGCTAAATATCGATTGGTTTATCCCCCACACCCCACGATCGCAATGCTTCCTAGCC